GCATTACCATGGGGAAAAAGTGTATCCACTGGAGCTTTATTACCAATCCTTGTCTTCACAGCAAGCCACTTATTTTCAAAATCCAATCACAGGGACAGAAAGTGAGGTGAAATCTTCTGAACAAGGGCACAGACAGCAAAATAAACACCACAGCGGTGTTAACCCTTCCCTATTCTTTCCAAAGCTCTCTCACACAGAGATATATTTGGCTGGAGTTACACTTAAATGTACCTATTCAAATTTACATGCAAATTCAACTTAAAAACAAATCTACAGAACCTATTTTGTTTGTAACTTGGGGACTGCCTGTATCCAAGGTAGTGCTGATGTGATAGATGATCTCTGTAATGTAGATGTGAGGGGCTACAGCTATCATCCTAGTACTTTCAGCTAGGAGAGGCACAATTTATTACATTTGTTTTCTGTAGCATAATAGCAGAACCAGCCTAACTGACCTAAAGGTGTCAGATCCCAACAGACCTTGGAAACAAAGCAAGATCAGGTCTGGTGAGCACTTGGATAGTAGGCTGCCAATATGTAACAAGTGCTGTGGGCTATATTTCAGAAGGAACTAGCAAAACCACATCTGAGTATCCCTTTCTTGAGAAAACCCTGTGCAATTTATAGGCTTGAACTAAATCGAAAGGCGACTTGATGGCGCATACACAGTGTAATAGCAAGGTTTGGTGTCCTGCATGCAAAACAGACCCTCAGAGGATATACAAATTACTTCACATCCAGGCTTGAATAAAACAGCCAGATCTAAAAGGCAGGATCTTGTTCAACTTGAAAGTTTGCATCTTTCTGTCCACAGAGTGTCCTGAAGGCACAACTGGTGGGTCTATGGAAGCTAAAATGCTGTGATCTTTTATGCTAATAAGGTCAAAAACCCTTCTCTGAGCCCAAAATGTTCCAAAATTCAATCCTGTCCACATGGTTGACTGAGATAGTGACACCTTTGCTTTCTGTGGATGGAATTTATTTAATGTACAAAATTATTTAAAATATTTTATTAAATTTACCTCCAGACATTGTGCATAAAGTGTATATGAAACATAAATGAATTTCATGTTTAGATTTGGGCCCCATCTCCAAGCTATCTCATTATGTACATATAAGTCAATAGAAGTATTTCAAAATAATAAAAAAATCTGAAATCGAAATACTTTGAGTGACACCTTGGTCATTGCAGATACGCCAGCTCATATCTTTTATGACTAACTTGTGTTTGAAATTTTAGAAGTAATTTGGACGAGGGCATATTTTTGATAAATTAGCTCTAATGATTGAAATGTTACTAGGAGAAAATTAAGAGTGAACTTAAGAGTGAAAATTAAGAGTGAAAATTAAGAGTGAAATTAAGAGTTCTATGTTCCTCATAGAACCAGTCGCCTATTCTGAGGTTTCTTCTATACTTCCATATAAAATCCAGATTATTTGCTTTGAACTAGATTATATAGCAGTGTAGACTCATATAATCCAGTTCAAAGCAGTTAATGTGGATTATCTGCTTTGATAATATGGATTATATGCCAGTGTAGAAGGGGTCTGAGAAGAGGGAAAATGTGTGGTCAGTAAATGAGTTTAACCTCCTTCTCGTCTCCCCGAATTCCCTTCACTAACCTCCAACCCCTGTGGATACCAAGGGTCTTCAGAGTCATCGGGTGGGGAGGGAGACATGTATGTGTCTCCCTCCCTTAATGTGTGTGTTTATGTGTAATATTTAATATTTTATGTTTAGATATAAAACTTTGGAGAACAAAGCCACTCAGCATGACCTTGATGGCCTTTTCGTCAGCACCCCTTGACCTGGGAATTCCCTCCAGCCGTTTTCCTGGTCATCACCTACTTACAAAGGACTCAATCACCCATCATCTGTGACCCATACCACAGGATGTGCAAAAGGCAACAGGCTTCGGAGTCAGACCACTTGTTCTTTGTGCAGCCACATCGACTTATAAAAAGATATTTATCACCTGCCATTTTCTTCCCCGATGTTGGGATGACTTGCCCCATTTTCCACATCGCTATTTCCCCTTTTCCCAGGAACAGATTCGTAATCCTATCATCATGGACAATATGCTGTTTTAAAATACAATGGACACTGGTGCAGAGTCATCAGACCCACACAGTTGGGGCTCATAAAGATAATAATCACAACAATAGAACTAATGGGTCTTGAGGGCCCCGCTTTGTTCGTCCTGGAGTTGGAACAATGTAATCCAATTATGAAATTATGTCTTCTTTGTCTGAAGTTTCCGTCCTGCCCCTCGCTGGCCATTGGAGGAATCTGTATTGGGAGCGGGGAATGCTCTCCTATTGGCCAGTGGGCACCGCAGTCCTGCCTTTGCAGGAAATCCTCCTTCTGTCACTGCCTCCTCATTTTCTCCCTCTATTTCCCAGTTGTCAATCATTCCTGTTGCCATAATCTTGGGGTTTTTATGTTTAGCTGCAACCCAGCTGTTGCACTTTCTTCTTTCACCTTAATTAGAAGGCTCCTCATCTCCTCCTCACTTTCGGCCATCAAAGTGGTATCATCTTCATATCTAAGGTTGTTAATGACATTCTACAGACATCACATCCAACTCCTGGAACAATTCCATCAGCGCTGCCTCTGAAAAATCCTGCAAATCTCTTGGGAAGACAAGCGGACAAATATCAGCGTGCTGGAAGAAGCAAAGACCACCAGCATTGAAGCTATGGTCCTCTGCCATCAATTCCACTGGACCAGCCACGTTGTCCAGATGCCCGACCACCATCTCCCAATGCAGTTGCTCTACTCCGAACTCAAGAACGGAAAACGGAATGTTGGTGGGCAGGAAAAGAGATTTAAAGATGGGCTCAAAGCTAACCTTAAAAACTCTGGCATAGACACTGAGAATTGGGAAGCACTGGCCCTTGAGCATGCCAGTTGGAGGTCAACCGTGACCAGCAGTGCTGTAGAATTTGAAGACGCACGAATGGAGGGTGAAAGAGAAACGTGCCAAGAGGAAGGTGCATCAAGCCAACCCCGACCGGGACCGCCTTCCACCTGTGGGAGAAGATGCAGATCAAGAATAGGGCTCCACAGTCACCTATGGACCCACCGCCAGGACACTTGGGGGACCATCATCCTCAGACTACGAGAAATCGCCTAAGTAAAGTATACAGATTCCTCAGGAGAGAAAGGTGATTTGATATTCCCATACCACCAAGTACTTGCCACAATTTATTATGAAACATACAGTCAAAGGCTTTAGAATCTTCTATATAAATAAAAATGTAATGTTTGTTTGTGGTATTCACAGAACTCAAAAACCACTGGGGCAATTGGTACCAAATTTGGACACAAGACACCTAACAACTCAATGTCCTTCACTCAAAAATTGATTTTGTCATTTGAGAGTTGTAGTTGCTGGGATTTATAGTTCACCTACAATCAAAGAGCATTCTGAACTCCACTAATGATGGAATTGAACGTGGCACAGAGAACTCCCATGACCAACAGAAAACACTAGACGGGTTTGGTGGGCATTGACCTTGAGTTTGGGAGTTGTAGTTCACCTACATCCAGAAAGCGCTGTGGACTCAATGATGGATCTGGACCAAACTTGGTACGAATATTCCATATGCCCAAATATAAACACAGATGGATTTCAGGGGAAATAGACCTTGACATTTGGGGGTTGTAGTTGCTGGGATTTATAGTTCACCTGCAATCAAAGAGCATTCTGAACCCCACCAATGACAAAATTGTGGCAAACTTCCCACACAGAACCTTCATGACCAACAGAAAATACTTAAGGCCATCCAATCCAACTCCCTTCATCAGGGCAAGAAACCGCCTCCTGACAAAGAGCCATCCAGCCATAGATATAGATACATAGATAGAAAGATAGATAGATAGGGAGTTGTAGTTGCTGGGATTTATAGTTCACCTACAATCAAATAGCATGATAGATTTGAACCAGCCGGGGCATACAGGGCTCCCATGATCAACAGAAAACACTAGATCGGTTTGGTGAGCATTGACCTTGAATTTGGGAATTGTAGTTCACCTACATCCAGAGACTACCATGGACTCAAACAATGATAGATCTGGACCAAACTTGGCATGAATATTCCATATCCCCAAATATGTACACCGATGGAGTTTCGGGGAACTAGACCTTGACATTTGGAGGTTGTAGTTACTGGGATTTATAGTTCACCTACAATCAAAGAGTGTTCTGAACTCCAACAATGACAGAATTGGGGCAAACTTCCCACACAGAACCCCCATGACCAACAGAAAATACTTAAGGCCATCCAGTCCAACCCTTTCACCAGGGCAAGAACACATAATCAAAGCCCTCCTGACAAAGAGCCATCCAGCCATAGATATAGATAGATTCACACACACACACAGATATAGTGTCATAGATTTGAAAGGGACCCCTGAAGAAGGACAATTATATGTTGCATGTTCCAGAGTAGGCAAACCAGACACTGACAAAGAAACAGCAAGAAATACTGTTTACCCATAAGCAGAAAGAAATTACATATGTTAGAAACCAACACTTTCTCATTACTTTATTCCCCAGATCACCAGACCGAGCCACAGCAACGCCTGGCAGGGGACAGCTAGTACTCAATAAAACAGAAATAGGTATTTTTCTGAAACTCCCTGCCTTTCTCCATTATTCAGCGGATATTGGCAATTTGGTCTCTCCTTCCTCTGCCTTTTCTAAACCCAGCGTGTGCATCTGGCAACTTTCTCTCCATGGATTGCAACCATGAGCCTGAAAGGACAACAAAGTAATCCAGGCAGGCAGAGAGGCGTGCGCGCGCCCTGTTGTCCTCGGCGTCGCGCGCCGCCTCCCCCCTCCCCCTCGGTCTGCGCCGCCCTCATCCAATGAGCGGCGCTGTTGCTGGCAGGTGCGGAGTGTTTTTGTTTTGGGTTGAAGAAGAAGACGACGACGACGGCAAAGAGGAAGAAGAAGTAGTTGTAGTTGCTGCTGCTTCTGCGGAAGGAAGGAAGGAGGGAGGGAGGGAGGCCGGCCAGGCTGTGTCCTTCCTCTGCCCACCGTTGCCTTTTCTCTCGAGGGAAAGGAGGGAGCTCCCGGTCCCCTCCGCCTCACCCCACCCTTCTTCCCGACGGCCTTTCTCTCGCTTTCTGAGGCGGGCCGCGGTCCTGCTTTTCTCCCCTTCCAGCGCCACCTTCCTCCTTCTCCTCCCTGCGCCGCTCTTGTGCTGAGGCCGAAGGGAAGGAGGAGGAGGAGGCCGCAGCCGCTCTCCTCGTCGCCGCTGAGGAGGAGGAGGTGGGGGGCCAGGCCCTCCTCGGCCTGGCCCGGCTCGGCTGGGCCTGGCCCGGCCTCCTCACCCGAGCCGACCCCTGCCGGGCCTACACCATGAGGAGGGAAATGAACGGGGTCACCAAGAGCCGGTTTGAGGTGAGCAGAGCCCCGCCAAGTTATTTCCTCGCGTATATATCTCTATTTATATAGTTGAGGGAGAGAAAGACAGAAAAGGGGGGGGGTTGTTTTGTGTACGTGCCCAACGGGGGATGCGTCGCCAATGAGGAGAACAAGGGAGGGCTGCCGTTCACGGAATGCTGCGTCCACACGTACACACACATCTATCACGATCCAGCGACGTGACGGGGAAGAAAGGGCGGGGGGAGGGCTGCAGGGGGAAATCGGGTGTTTGTTTGTCTTTCGGAGTGAAGCCCCTTCCACACAGCTGAATAACATCCCACATTCTCTGCTTTGAACTGGAATGTGTGGCAGTGTGGACTCAGATAACCCAGTTCAAAGCAGATAATGTGGGATTTTCTCCTTGATATTCTGGGTTATATGGCTGTGTGGAAAGTCCTTCAGATAACCCACTTCGAAGCAGATATTGTGGGATTTTCTGCCTTGATACTCTGGGTTGTATGGCTGTGTAGAAGGGGCCCTGAGTTTGAGAGCAAGGGCCCCTCTTCCGGCTTTAAAGACCAAAGAAAACAACTCGTTGAGAGGAGGAGGAGGTCGTGGTTACCCTCCCCGGAATTACAAAATTGTGTTTTAAGGAGTCCACACTCGGATAATGTGGTATTTTCTGCCTTGATATACTGGGTTGTATGGCAGTGTGGAGGAGCCCTGAGTTTGAGAACAAGGGCTCCTCTTCCAGCTTTAAAGACCAAAGAAAACAACTCTTAAGGAAAGGAAGTGTTGAGACTCATTCTCTTCAGAAGAAAGAAAAGATACACAGCCCTCTTCCACCCAGTTGTACAAAATCCACATCAAACTGGGTTATATGGCAGTGTGGACTCAGATAATCCAGTTCAAAGCAGATATTGTGGATTATCTATGTTAATATTCTGGGTTATATGACTGATCGGTGCAAAAGAGTGAACTGTTTGGGGCAGAAAGAGAGAAAGACGCAATTCCTGTGCTTGTGTTCGGAGGAGGAAGAGGAGGAGGTCGTGGTCCCCCCCCCCCCCTGGGTTATATGGCTGTGTGGAAAGTCCTTCAGATAACCCACTTCGAAGCAGATATTGTGGGATTTTCTGCCTTGATACTCTGGGTTGTATGGCTGTGTAGAAGGGGCCCTGAGTTTGAGAGCAAGGGCCCCTCTTCCGGCTTTAAAGACCAAAGAAAACAACTCGTTGAGAGGAGGAGGAGGTCATGGTTACCCCCCCCCCCCCCAATGTCCACACTCAGATAATGTGGGATTTTCTGCCTTGATATTCTGGGATATAGGGCTGTATGGAAGGGGCCCCAGAATTTCAAGGCAGATAATCAACAATCAGTGAGAGCTGGAAAATATCCTTCCAAGTCCCCTTCCACACAGCTGAATAAAATCCCACATTTTCTGCTTTAAACCAGGATATATGGCAGTAATGGACTCAGCCAGCCCCGTTCAAAGCAGATATTGTGGTATTTTCTGCCTTGATATTCTGAGTTATATGGCTGTGTGGAAGGGCACTGGGTTGTATGGCTGTGTTGAAGGACCCCAAGGCTTCTGGATCCCCTTCCACATAGTTGAATAAAACCTCACTTTATCTCCTTTGAACTGGAATATATGGCAGTGTGGACTCAGGTAAACCAGTTCAAAGCATATATTGTGGGATTTTCTGCCTTGATATTCTGGGTTATATGGCTGTGTAGTAGGGCTCTGAATCCACACTGCCATATATCCCAGTTGAAAGCAGATAATGTGGGATTTTATTCAGCTGTGTGGAAGGGGCTCTAGAAGCCTTGGGGGCCTTCCAAACAGCCATATAACCCAGTGCCCTTCCATACATCCATATAACTCAGAATATCAAGGCAGAAAATCCCACAATATCTGCTTTGAACTGGGTTGGCTGAGTCCACACTGCCATATATCCCAGTTTAAAGCAGAAAACGTGGGATTTTATTCAGCTGTGTGGAAGGGGCCTTGGAAGGGAGGAAGGATATTTTCCACCTCTCACTGAATGAATGCAACAGCAATGAGTCTAAGAGACTGAGGCCTCTTAAGGAACGGAGCTGTTGAGACTCATTTTCTTCAGAAGAAAGAAAAGATACACAGCTCTCTTCCACCCAGTTGTACAAAATCCACATCAAACTGGGTTATATGGCAGTATGGACTCAGATAATCCAGTTCAAAGCAGATATTGTGGATTATCTATATTAATATTCTGGGTTATATTACTGTGGAAGAGCACAATGCTGATCATTGCAAAAGAGTGAACTGTTTGGGGCAGAAGGAGAGAAAGACGCAATTCCTGTGCTTGTGTTTGTTTTGAATGTTGAGGAATATTAACTGACTTAAAATGTAAATAGATAAAATTTACACAGAGAGGATTTTTCCCCTTTCCTATTCTGAGTGAAGGAAAGGACAAACATATTAGGGGATATCCTGTTGTCAGCACAGTAGATGCAAAGTTGTAAGTAAAAAGGCTGAGGTCTCTTCCTTCCCATGAGATGGCTGGCTGGGAATGAGCTAGCAAAGGATGAGCTGAAAAATAGGAGGAGCCACTGCACTCTCTTTCTCTGTGTGTGTGTGAAGGATGATAGTCTGGAGAAGAGGGAGGGGCTTGTGTGTATCTGTAGGAGTCTCTTGTCATCATGGGGGACTAATCTTAATGCTGTTGGCGTGGCCTGGCTTATCTTGACTATGGTGTTTTCATATAGCTCCTAATACATAGTCTTCATTCCTTGGCAGATGCTGTTGAAAGGTCCTAAAGTGTATGACAGAAGCTAGCTCTCCCAGTTTGGCAGGGATGGAGAGGGAGGAGCAAAGGAATGAAGCAAGGGCATACTTACAGGACAATGTTGTGTAGGATGTATGTTTTTGTAGAAAGGTGGAGAATTTTTTTTCAGCCTAAGGAATGAGATTTTTTAAAGTCAAATACTAAACCAAATATAGAGATGCACTAGATTTTCCCCCCTATGAGATTCAAAGTCACATGCCCTACCCGTACTTGTTAATTCCAATTATCTATTAATCACAACTGTATCCAAGGCTTGGCCAATAGGAAAGGGAGATTGTGAGTGTGATGCTTTCCATGTGCGTGGTCATAAGGCCTATAAATTGTTTCCACAATAAGATAGGACCTGTGTGTGTGTAGTTTAAGAGAATTGTGGTTCTTGCAGCCCTTGGACAGAATGAACAACTATTTTCAGTGGATGATGCTGGACATATGTTCTTGTACACACTGTGCAAAATTAATGCTTAAGGGTTCTTAGAGAGAACAAATGCATAGTGTTTGCATTTGACTTCAGAATAGGAAAAAGTGGTACAGTCTAGTACTATTGTTGCTTTTTTATCCTGAAAATGAGGGTGGGGAGAGGAATTATACATTGAGAAGCATGAAGGAGGGAGATGCTGGAGGGCACACAAGCAAGTAAAGAGTAAACAATGAGCTATTCAGATAAATATGGCCCATAAACAGCATGATCTTAGACCACACACAAGCACCCTATCTAACTACGATTTCTTCTACTTCTTTGTTGTAACAGCTGCCTCTCCCCCCACCCCCACTCCTTGACAGGGAAACTGTTAGTGACACAAATAAGAGCAAATGGCCTCTTCAATTGTGAAGATGTGATGTAGAATGGAAACAAATTGCCAAAGTGTAATGTCTCATCAAGTGACACAGGAATAACTTCGATATGGAAAGAATGATAGCCTTCCTCAGAGGGAACTATGCATTGGACACAATTATTTCTCCAGTATGTGAATCAAAAACGACAAATGCAATTAACTGAGAAGAAATCTTGGTTCACTTGAGCATTGCATACGGAAAGGGTAATACTACAGAATGAAAAATAGCAGCAACTTCATCCAGAAACTGACTGGTGGATTGAAACAGGTAGAAATACTATTTTGGTTTAATTCTTTTTACATGTACTAAAAGTGGTTTGATGCAAGGAAGATTTATTCACAGTGTTAACTGCAATGGAGTAAAAATAATCTACTAAAAAGCCAGGTGATACAAAGTCCAATCCGAAAAGAGTTGCCTAGTTGGCGACATTAGAAACAGCTACATTTAATTATATTTATTTCAAGTATATATATAATCCTTCTTCTAAACTGAAAATTAGTGTAGTCGTAAGGTGTGATGCTTGTGATTTGAAAACAGGGTTTGCTTGAGTTTTAAAGGAAAGTTGATGTGAGAATAGATAGGTGGACTATAGGAGTGATGCACTATATTTGCAGGGCTTCTCATGAAAAGTTTTGATAGATATCCTTGAATGTTTGTATTGGAAGTATTTATTCTGCAATTGGTATTTGCTAGAGTCTGATTCATTCAAAATTGTTTCTATATTGCTTATCATAAGAAGGAAAAGCGAAAATGCACATTCTAATTTGCAAAAATGTGCATCTGATAATATGAATAGGTAAAAAAAGTGCAAATTGCCATAAAGAATGACAAGTCTTCCCATATTGTTGCTTGCTCTTGTTCTCCTTTACTGTTGCAAAAAGGTTCATACCTTAGTGTTGGAAAGATAAATATCCACTATTGATCATTCAGTGATAACAAGATCTTACTGCTTTAGCGAAGCGTGAGCATCTATTTTGATGGCAATTTCAAAAAATAAATTTTGAGAAATGTGGTTAGTTTGTGTCCGTGTATATCTTGTTTATATCCTATGTACTTCTCCTTCCCTTTTTATTTTATTCTTTCTCATTCCTGTCATTTTTTCATTGTAGTTGTATTTCTAAAATCCAATAAAATTAGATAAAATATTTTTAGATATTTTACAGTCAGATACAATGGAAATGTGGTAAATTTCTATTTTAGATATATAGTGATGCTACTTAGTAATGTAGATGATGGTAGTTCACTGTAAGCTGAGTATCTCTTATGCAAAATTTCAAAATTTGAATTTGTCCACAAGGGTGACTGACATAATGATTTTTATGGTTCCATGTGCACAGACTACTCTATTTTAACATGTTTACAATTATGCCAATACAAGTA